AAAGAACTGCCGGATTTTTTTTTCTTTTTTGATTTTATTATTTCACAAAAAAAACAGCTTTTAAAGAATGTTTTGTATTCACAAACAGTGTCATCTTGCCCTGCGCCCCCCCTCCCCCCCAAAAATAATTCACAGATCAAGACCCAGTACGGCGTGGGCACGCACATCCGAACCCCGCGTCAACGCCGCCTGCACACCGCGCTCTCTCCACCTTCCCCAGAACAAACAAAACGAAAAGGGAACCATTTCCGTCCTCCAAAAACAGCACAAAAGTCACAATCGGATATCGGCCTCTCCTCCTGGTGGGTCTCTCTCTCTCTCGCTCGCTCTTCTCTTCCTTTCGTCGTCTTTCCCAAACTCCAGTGTCAGCATCTCAGTCCTCCATCTTGGAACAGTGTCCTTGTACCACTCCCCTCGCCTCCCCCCCCCCGAGCAACCCAGAGTGGGACGGCCCACGAGCATCTTGCAGACTAGGTCCTGGGCTGTACCACCACAGAGTTGGGGGGGGCGGGGGGGAGTTGGGAGAGGGAGTCCGGGTGTCGACACCTGCGAACAAGAAAGAAAAGGCTCTGGTCAAACCCGACAGGCCAGTCTCCCGCGCTGTCCTCCCCCCTCCTCCCCCACTCATCTCACGGCTCGGTGAGAAGACGAGGGGACGGTGCGCCCCCTTTCCGATCGGAACGGCCCTCCTGCCAGGGGTACGACTGGCAAGAACCGGGGAAAAAAACGCTTTCCGAGTGGGACTCCGCCTGGCCAACCACAGGAATTGCTTACCTTCCCGCCCGGCACCTTATTTCCTGCGTTTCTTGCTGGGTGACCGGCTGTCTGACCTCTGACCCCTGCGGGCAGACAGGAGAGAGAGAGAGAGAGAGAGAGAGAGAGAGAGAGAGAGAGAGAGAGAGAGAGAGTCAGGGTTCATCCTGCAGACGCACACACAACAGGACAGCCCTGGCTGACAAGCACACGCTGGGGCCCGGACTCTGTCCCGCCAAGCCCGGGCTGCTTCTGTGCCTCCCCCAGGCATGACGGGAGAAGATCCGCTTGTCCAGGCGGCTGCCCCTCACACCGAGCGAGGGGTACGCTCTCCCCTACCTCCACCCCCAGCGCTAAAGGAAAGGTGCAGCTGCGGGGTTTACGGGGGCCTACGATACCACCCCCCCCTCCCCCCAGGCCAGGGGCCACAAAGGCACGCTTCTCCCACCCTGCCGGAACGGAGCGACCCCAGACGTGTCCGAGTCACCACATCCGACTGATCCGGACGCACGCAGAAACAGCCCATCGCCAGGAGGCCCCGAGCGGGCCCGGCCACAGTCCAGCGCCGGCGAGAGCGTGTTTGTGTCCCCCCCGAGGGCCCCCTGCGGGACCGGGTCGCTCACCTGTGAGGGGGGGGTGAGGACGGCGCCGGCCTGCGCTGTCGGAGCGGCGGGGAGTAGCTGGGAGAGCGGGAGTCCCGCAGGGAATCGGCCGGCTCCCTGGGCCGGGGAGGACTGGGGGAGAGAGGGAGAGAACCACCGTGAACAAATCCATATCGCGATAATTTCCCACAGTTACCCCGATAACGATAAATGGAACGAGCATTTTTCCTGAAACCCTTGAAATACGATATGATATGCTGGAAGACCCCATTTTAAATATGCGAAACTATGAAACTTAGTAAACGTCAGGCACCACAGTTTGAGAAAAATGTGTTCTCGAGGGCACAACGCATCTCTACGCATCGGGGGCTTGAACGAGTCTTTCAAACCACTGCAGCTATGGGAAGCATGTCCTTCGCTGTGCAGTGTGTAATGGCGTTCGTTATCGCGTCACGCCTGCGTGAATCTTTCGCGCATCGAGTGGCATGAGTAAACGCTCGTGTTAAGAGAGCAATCCCTTCGGCCATGAGTGCGCTTGACAGTCTCTCTCGTTTTTTGGCCATGCGCCGTATTCGTATCCCACGACATGGCTGCGTTTAAAGCGATGAAACCAGTTGCTCGTGTTACTTGTGGGCGCAGAAACGGTTCTCCCGACAAGAGCTCACATCCGACTTCTCTCTGTTCGGCATCCGGTTCGCTGAAGCCAACACACGACCTAACGATCGACACTGCATCTGTCTGAGCTACCAGCTCGTCTTCCTTCGTGCTCGAGTCCTCCCTGCCCGACGGGGGTTCAGCACGAGCGCTCCCGTCGTCTCACGCCCGGCTCGCTGCTTTGGGTTTTGAATGAAGAACGCGGGTTGGACAAGGCAGAAGCCTGTGACTGGATCTGACGACTGGGGACCGCTCATGAAAACCGCACAGTGGGGAAAGCTTTCATCCCGACATAAGCAAAATAAGGTCGGCGAGAGATTCTTAACATCGGTATCGATACGTTTTCGATATGTATTGCCCAGCCCTAGTGCCAGGCCAGCGAGAAGACGGCGGAGCTGGTCTGAGGGCACTCGGACGCTCTCTCTCCAAATGATACCGGCAGGAAACCCCCTCTTTTAACAGGCGTCGGATTGCACGGACAAAAACCCACTGAAGAGGGATTCTGTCTGAAAAACCCAACACCGGACTCTCCCCTCAGTAAGGAAGGAAAGCACAGACAATAAAAAGCAGAAAGAACTACTACACGGGACTCCAAAAATCAAGAATATCAATTGATCAAAATCAAGATATCAATATCGGGGCAGTACAAGGTCAACTGCTTACGATGGGTGGAGTATGTGCTTTGGATGTTGAAGAAAATTTTATACGGATATTAACGATACACGCAATAAAGAGCCTGTATATTTCAATAAACCGCCACAGGAACAAAGTTTCGCTCGCCGTGTGTTGATTGCAAGTATTTTTTGTCATAATTCAAAAGATGCAAAAAATGATATAGAGCACACATTTTCTCAAATGACAGTGCTCCTGGGCAGAAACACTACTGGTTCGACACTGGCAGTAACAGACACCCCCCTGCTCCTGCTCATTACCACTTCGCAGAGTCTGCAGCGGGAGAGTCCTCGCTCCCGGAGGAGGATGAGTCGGAGGAGGAGGAGGAGGAGTCGGAGGAGGAAGAGGAGGAGCCCGAGGCCTTCCCTGCCTTCTTCTGGTTGGCCGCTTCGCCCTCGGACCTGGGGGGAGGGGGGGGGGAGGGCAGAAGTGAGACGGCAGGTATTTTCACCAGCCTTACATCATATTTTACAACACCGGGCGAGGGTCCTGAATAGCCACACATCGAGCAGAGCTGCCTGCAATATAAATTCAATCGGTTTTCAAGCTGGTAATACTTTGAATTTCGCCCAGAACTGTAGAAAAAAGAAATGGTGAAACTGCCTTCACAGCAGAGGAAAAGTAGTGCGAGACAGAAATGCACCACAGATTGAGAGAGAGAGAAATGGAAAGGACAAATTTCTCACCCTCTTTTGTCCTCTGTCTCGGAGTCAGAGCTGTCGGATGAAGAAGAGGAGGAGGAGGAGGAGGATGACGAGGAGGAAGATGACGAAGATGATGAACTGTCCTGCCCTTTCCTGTCATTAGGTTTTTCCGACTGGCTGTCTTCGCTGCCAGGTCCCTCCTTCTCTCTCCTCCCATTGGCCTGTTCCTCTGGCCCATTCAATGATTGGCTCACAGAACCCGGAGAATTTGGTCCTGATTGGTCAGCGGCAGAGGCAGGGGCCGGCTTGACGACAAACCCAGAAGGTGATTGGCTGGCTTCTCCCGCCCCTCTGGGAGATGACCTTTCCAATTGGCTGTCGCGGGGCTCCTGGGCTGGCGACCTGGATCGCGATTGGCGGCAGCTGGGTTCCACAGCCGGGGAGCAGGAACGCCTCCGGCTGGGGGCCGGCAGTTTCCCGGGAGATAACTCACCAGGACCTGCACGCGACTGGGTGCTTGGAGAGGCGGGGTACACTCTAACCCCTGCGGAGGAAGGAGAGGGGGTACGCGACTGATGAATGGACGCCCCTCTTTCCTCGCTCTCCTCCCGCTGTTGCTCTCCGAAAGACTGAGAGGGATCCTTCAGTGCCTCCCCCCCGGCTCTCTCTCCCTCTTCCTCCTTAAGCGGGCAGGGAGAGGAGACGTCCTGCTCTCTACCCTCCTCCCTCTCTCTGTCCTTGTCGGGCGCGTGCTCTCTCTCTGCTGGGCTCAGCCTGTCCTGCTCTTCCCTCTGGGTGTCCACCTTGGCGTCGCTCCCTTGCTCGCTCCCCTCCTCGCTCCCTTGCGCCGGCCCTCTGTCCGACACCTCCCTCTCCCCGTCGCTCCCTCTGCCCCCATGGCCGTTCGCCTCCGTCGCCGGGGCCCCGGTGCGGGGAGGACTGGGGGGCTGAGAAGGGGGGGAGGAGGAGGAGGAAGAGGAGGAGGAGCTGGACGAAGACGAAGAGGAGGAGGACGACGTCGAAGACGAGGAAGCGGAACGGGCGCGGCGCTCGGGGGCTCTGGGGGGAGACTTTGCGCGGCGCTCCCTCTCCCTCTCCCTCTCTCTTTCCCGGTTCCTCTCCCGTTCTCGCGCCCGCTCCCGGGACAGGGAGCGACTGCTTCTCCTTCTCCTGAAGGGAGAGGGGGAACGGCGGCGGGAGGGCGAGAGACGGTACCTGGAGAGACGAGGAGAGAGTGAGAGAGGGGTTGAAACTACCTTCCTGTTTCACTACTAAAGATTCATTACAAGGCCCTGACAGAGCTCCCCAGTCCTGGAGTTTCCCACTTCACAGATTGTTTCCCCCCCTTAACCGAGTCTCCGTTCTAATGTATACTTCAAGACATTAAAAACAACGAGGGCTACGTTAGTACCAACAAGCACCCGTTGCATTTTTAATCAACCAATTCATGCATTCCTCTCCTAACACCCGGGTTGCGCTCAGAGAAATATGGGCTCAAAAGGTCATATACAGTATATGATATACAAGATAAAGTTATCTCTGTGTTAATGAGGTGTCCAATACTGATAGTATCGCAGCTCTCTTTCCCCGACACTGCAGGACGCAAGTGCTTAAAGAAAAACAGAAGAAGATGAGGCGATTGCTCTGGTCGGGACAAAAACCTTTTGGACACTCGGGACACCAGGATCTGAGCTTGTCTTGGCTAGTCTGCCTCACTGACGGACAGGCCAACAGTGGACAGCCTGACCGACAAACAAACGGCTAAGACGCAGACGTTAACGGGACCTTGCACACAATCGGGAAAGCCTCTTGCACCCTCTCACCTGTAGGGGGGGCTGCGTGGACGGCGCGAGCGAGATCGGCTACTGGTCCGAGATCTGGAGCGGGTCCTCCTTCGCCTGCGCCTCTCCCAGTCCCGGTCCCTCTCCCTGTCCCTCTCTCTGTCCCTGTCCCGTCGGGATACAACCGGAGAGCTCCTCCGGTCCCTATCCCTCTGTCTCTCCCATTCCCTGTCCCTGTTTCTCTCCCTCTCCCGTTCCCTGTCTCTCTCCCTATCTCTTTCCCTCTCCCTATCCCGTTCCCTGTCCCTCTCCTTCTCCCGATCCCGTTGCCTGTCCCTCTCCCGCTCTCTCTCCCTGTCCCTGTCCCTATCCCGCTCCCTGTCCCTGTCCCGCTCCCTGTCCCTGTCCCTGTCTCGGCGCGACTGGGAGACTGGCAAGCGCTGGGGGGAAGGAGAGCGAGGCAGGGAGGGCTTTCTGGTAACTCGGCTGGTACTGGGAGAAGGAGACGGCTTTCTGGTAATGGGGGGATTCTGGTACTGCAGTGGAGGAGTGAGGGGCCGGTCCTGTGCAGCAGGAGAGGGAGACGAAGAGGAGGAGGAAGATGAGGAGGACGAGGAGGAGCGGCGAGATGGCAAACTGGGTCCCCCAGCGTGGCTCTTTGTCCCCCTTCCGGGCCTCTGGGGCGACGGCGACTCCCTTTCGCTCCTCATCACCGAAGAATGGGACGGTGCACTCCCTCCCTCCCTCTCCCGTTCCACGGGTGTCTGCCGCTCCATCCTCATCTCTCTCGGAGGGGAGGGGGTTCGACTCTGTCTCGGGGGAGAGGGTGTTTGTCTCTCTCTCTCTGTTGGGGAGTACGTCTCCTTCCCACTGCCTGCTGCCTCCGGGGACTCGCTCCTCTCTTTAGAAGGGCACCTCTCCCTTCCAGTGTCCATCCCAGCCTGGTTCCAACGGCACTCTCCTCTCTCCATCTCCCCGGAGGTCTTGGGAACATCCCACTCTCTCAGGGGAGAGGGGGATGACACCCCCCTCTCGGGATCTGTTGGAGAATATCTCTCCGCACCCCTTCCTGATGTTCCTCTCTTCTCTTTTTCCCTTTCACTTGGAGAGTACTTCTCGCTGCCTCTCTCAGCCCGGGGTGGGGACTCCCTCTCTCTCCTTATTGCTGAAGAACGCGAGCTTGCTCTCTCTTCTCTCGGGGGAGTGAGGGAGGGCGTTACCCTCTCTCTTCCTGAAGGGGTGTACCTCTCTTTCCCTCTGTCCGAACCCTTCTTCCCCACCTCTCTCCCTCGATCCGATCCTGGTGTCTGGTCCCTGCGTTCACCTTCTCGCACTCTCCCCACAGCTTTCGGAGTCAGTCTCCTCTCCCTTGAAGGGGAGGGGGATGGGGTCTCCCGCTCTCTGTCTGTGGGGGAGTACCTCTCTTTCCCTCGAGTCTCTCTCTGCCTCGGAGGAGAGGGGGAGGGAGTCTCTCGCTTCCTATCCGTTGGGGAATACCGCTCTTTCCCTCTCTCTCTTCCCAGAGTCTCCCCCTCCCTCGGAGGGGATGGGGATGGAGTCTCCCGTTCCCTATCCATTGGTGAGTACCTCTCTTTCTCTTTTCCCAGAGTCTCCCTCTGAGGAGATGGGGATGGAGTCTCACGCTCCCTCTCCGTTGGGGAGTATCTCTCTTTCCCTCTCTCTCTTCCCAGAGTCTCCCTCTCCCTCGTAGGAGATGGGGATGGAGTCACCCGCCCCCTATCTGTTGGGGAGTACCTCTCTTTCCCTCTCGGTCTTCCAGGAATCTCCCTCTCCTTGTGACTTGGGGGAGAGGGTGACCGCGTGGTTCTCTCTCTCCAGACAGGTGAGTACCTTTCCCTGCCCCTCTCTCTCCCCCTCTCCACCTCTCGGGGTGTTTCGGTAGTCTTGTCCCAGCGGCTGCTCTTGGAAGGACGATCCGATTCTCTCCTCTCTCTCGGAGAAGGCAAAGGTGATTCTCCCTCCGTCGGCGAGTATCTCTCCGTCTCTCGCTCAATCTCTGGTTTCTGTCCAGTACTCTGGTCCCAGTGTCCCGCCTCCCTTGGGACATCTCTCTTTGCCCTTCCGGCCACGTCTCTCTCATCGGAGCGCCGGATGGCCACCTCCCTCTCCCCCGAGGAGTCTCCCTCGTTCCATCTCTCTGCCCTTGCTGGTGACTCCTTTTCTCTCTCCCTCCTGAAGGCGGAAGGATAAGATGCCTCTCTCTTCTCCTCCTCCTCCTCTTGTGGAGATGGCGTCAGTCGACATCTCGTATCCGGAGAGCTGGGCCTCTCCCTTCTCCGCCCAGGAGAGTCTCGCTCTCCGCATGGTCTGTCCCACAGCTGGGGAGAAGGCGGGAGCGGGGCTGGAGCAGAGGTTGCTGTGAGAGCCGATGGGCGTTCCTCCCCAGACTCCTTCCGTCGACTCTTCTTCTTCGTCTTGTCCTCCGGCTTTTTCTCGCTTCCTGCCTTGCGTTTCCCATCTTCCTCCTCGTCAGAGGAGGAGGAGGAAGACGACGAGGACGACGAAGAGGAGGAGGAGGATGACGAAGAAGACGAAGAGGAGGAGGAGGAAGAGGACGACGACGAAGTTGATCCAGAGCCGCTGCTGCTGCTGCTGGTGCTGCTGCTGCTGCTACTGGAATCGCTGCTATGATCTCGGGCATTCTTTCCCCGGGTCGCAGCTCGGTCTCCCTTCTCCTTCGACTTCTCCATCGCCACACCCTTCCCACTCTCTTTCTTCCTCTCTCTCGGCACGTGGCTCTTCTCCTTGGCCTCCGCTCTGCCCCCGTGCCTCTCGTTCTGTTCTTCGGAAGTCTTGCTCAGCCGAGTCCTCTTGCTCTCTCGTTCTCTCTCCACCCCTCTCTCTTGTTCCTGCTCTCTGTCCCGCTGTTTCACTTCTCTCTCCCGTTCTCTTTCCAATTCTTTCTGCCTCTCCTTCTCCCTTTCCCGTTCTCTCTCCAGTTCTCTCTGCCTCTCCTTCTCCTTCTCCAGTTCTCTCTGCCTCTCCTTCTCCCTCTCCAGTTCTCTCTGCCTCTCCTTCTCCTTCTCTAGTTCTCTCTGCCTCTCCTTCTCCCTCTCCAGTTCTCTCTGCCTCTCCTTCTCCCTCTCCAGTTCTCTCTGCCTCTCCTTCTCCTTCTCTCTCTCCAGTTCTCTCTGCTTCTCCCGTTCTCTCTCCAGTTCTCTCTGCCTCTCTTTCTCCCTCTCCAGTTCTCTCTGCCTCTCCTTCTCCCTCTCCCGGTCTCTCTCTAAGTCCCTCTGCCTCTCCTTCTCCCGGTTCCTGTCTCTCTCCTGCTCTCGGTCTCTCTCCCGCTCTCGTTCTTTGCCCCTTCCGTTGGTGAGGGGCGAGCGGCGGGGGGAAGGGGAGGCCTCCGGCGACGAGTGCCTGTCGTTCGCCCGCCGCTCTCTCTCTCTGTCCCTTCTCTGCCGGGGCGAGTCCTCCTTCTCCTTCTCCCTCTCCCTCTCCCTCCCCCGGTCTGCCCGCCTGTCCCTCTCTCGGCTCGATCGGTCGCGAGGGGACTCCTCCCGCTCCCTGCTGCGCTGGCGCCGCTCCCGATCCGGGGAGGGAGAGGCGGAGGAGGAGGAGTCGTGCCGCCTCCTCCTCTCGTTCCTCTTTCCCTGGTCTCTCTCTCGGTCTCTCTCCCGTTCCCTGTCCCTGCGCCGGTCTCCTCTATCGGGCGGAGTGGAGCGTCTCGGGGATCTCTGCAAGGAAAAAAACAACAATATGTTGGGCTTAAAAACAAGACGACGCTGACTGACTGTACACTACTCAACCAAGTTCATCTCTTTTTACTTTTGCGGGTTGATTTTAGGTTTAGCAAATGGGCCAACCCAATTTCCCGCCTAAACCAGGACGACAGCAAAGAGCTAGGAAGTCGTTTACGCCGAACCACCTCTTGCCCTCTTACCTCTCTGACCTGTGACCTCTGTGGGCTCCCGGCCTCTTGGCCCCTCCCTTTCCTGCCTTCGGGGGACCGCCCTCTTCCATCATCGGCTCGTCTGGCGGGCTGAGCTGGCCGCACCTCTCGGAGCGGAGCAGGGGATTGGCTGGAAGAAGAGGCAGGTTGAACTCTCCCGAAGCAAGAGAGAGAATGAACCGCACAGACGCGCACGAACGAAGAGAGACGACGGCGAACGAGAGGGAGGCTTGCACCTGGGGGAGGAGTCTGAAGAGGAGGAGCGGCTTCTCCTTCTCTGATGTTTCTTTGGGGGAGGGGTCCCACTGTCGGACCTGCAGAAACGGGAGGAGCCACACAGGTCTTTAACACTTCATCCTAATCCCAACAGATAAGCGTTCAGTTCCTGTCGCTGCAGGAGACCGTGTGCCGCCGCCACCACTACGCACAACCCAATACAGTCGGGGTGCAGCTGGCATCATTTGCTGTCGGGGTACCCTTCCGCGCACTCACTTAGCGAGAACCCACTGGCACTGAGGGGTTCCCAGTGTCTGTCTCGCAAACCACCTCTTAGTAAGAGATTCATCCTTGTAAGGACCTCAGATTTAAATTGGAACGCATCACCAGTATTAAGTCAGGCTACCTGCTACTCAGGAAGACTTTAAGGGGGAGATTCACTGCACAGTTACTTAGGACACACAGAGGACTGCCTCAACAACCCAAGTGTGGGGCTGCAATACGTCACAGCACAGTGCAGCAAAGGTTTGAGATGAGTTTCAATCCAGTACACAATCCAGAGAACAAACAGGGCATCTTCCTGTAATTCTCTGCACCCCAGTAATTGTGGGGAAAAAAAGCTTATTTTTCACTTTAGACCATCTCCGAGCTACCACACAAAATGGTGTTTAGTAGAGGTTATTGTATAATTGGTCAATAATTACATATGGTCCACATGTAACAAAACAGAAGGTTTTGGCATCGGTTACCCCCTTCTTCAGTCACGCTGAAACGTCACCTAGAGCAGATGTCTGTCTCCCTGCTTCAGCATGCAAAGATCGAACACTTTTCACCCACACAGAGCGAATCCCTGACCTCCTACTCTTGCGGCGGCAGCAGAGATGAAGGCAGCGTACTCACCTCTTCCTCTTCTCCTTGGACCTCGGCCTGTCAGAGGCACTGGGAGAGCTGCGGAGAGGCGTCAAACAGCACGTCAATGAGAAATCACACCCCCGCCATGTTTGAATTTTCAGGCGGAAAGGACAAAAGACGAGGAGGAGCGCGCGCCACTATTTTAAAAGCCAGTGCATGCAAATAAGACGTTTCTAACCCTGGTCCTAGAGAACCCCAATCCGGTTTATTATATAACATCCTTCATCTCCAGTTATTTAAGAATTATGACACTTGTTTAATCAATTAAGGAATAGTATATTCATGAAGAACACCGTTCAAAATGCCCTCTACAAGACTTAATGGAACAGACCTTGTTTTCGAGCGATTAAAGTTAAACTCTTCCAGGCCTTTAGAAAATTACTGATTTAAAAGGTGTCTATAAAAAAGTTTTAGGATACAGGCTGGAGACCCCTGCTGGAAAGTATTCAGACCAAATGTAAAACAGACTAGATAAGGAACGAGAACTGTCAACCCATTTCTCCATTAAACCTGGACTGTAACTGACGCAGCGAGAGAAACAGGACAGTCTGAAGAAGACAAGGAGAAAGAGAGAGGAACAGAGACAGTGCAGTAATACTACTGCCAGCCCATGTCTCCATTAAACCTGGACTGTAACTGACGCACCGAGAGAAACAGGACAGTCTGGAGAAGTCAAGGAGAAAGTGAGAGGAACAGAGACAGTGCAGTAATACTACTGCCAGCCCATTTCTCCATTAAACCTGGACTGTAGATGCAGCGAGAGAGAGACAGTCTGAAGAAGACTTGGAGAAAGAGAGAGGAGCCCATTTCTCCATTAAACCTGGACTGTGACAAATTCTTATGTTTGCGTTGTGGGTCTTACCTGTGTCTGTTCTCCTTCTGCACAGAGCCCGACCTGAGGGACAGACATAGAAACAAAGCCATTATTACAGAACCAATCTCCGCCCCTGCAGCCCCGACATCTCCACACCCTTGGGGCCTCACCTTCTCTTCTTCTTCTTCTTTGACCTCTTCTTCTCCCGGCGCGGGGATGGCGACCGGCTCTCTGAGCTGAAACGAGCGGGACAGCGGGCGTCAAGACGACTCCTTTCTCTCCCCTCCTCTTCCCTACCGCCTCCTCTCTTGCCCCGCACTCCCGCACCCCCTTACCTGTCTCTGTGCTTCTCCTTCTTCTTTTTCTTCTTTCTCTGCTGAGGGGGAGGGGAAGGAGACTCATCTGAAGACGCCTCAATCAGCCTGGAGAAGCAAAGAGGGGGAAAATGAGACCAGAGAC